ACATATACAGCATTAGTTTAGTGTCACTTTTTGGGGTCAAACAACATGTTCTGAGGAAACTGGCTGTAATCGGACCTGTACACTTTAAAATGTATAACTTCCTGAGTAAGACAGACTGATTATGTCGAGGAATGTGAGACTTGCACAACTGTTGCATGGCTCATTAATAGAAAGTATTGTGGTGACAGTCATTTAGTGAAATTTCTCAGACAACTTGTCTGGCGGCTCTTTATGTTTCTTCTTAGTGCATTTGTTTTAAACAAAATCAACTATCCTGTCAAAGGCAGAACACAAAGAAACTCTAACTAACGAGTGAAGTGTACAATTACTACATGCAGGTTAAAGAGAGAATCTCATCCAGTATTTAAACACAACATCAAAATGTGACCAGCTTGGATTTTATCATGGATCTTTGGAGTGATTTTATTTTGTTTTTGTTTCTCAATGTTTATTTTTATTTTTATTTTTTTTACAAACATTGCACTTCTTAGAACCTTATCTGTCAGGTTCAGCCGACAGAGCAGGATCAAACTGACAACCATGCGTGCTCACACCTGCGGCCAGCTTAAAATTCTAACACCCTTGTCTTTGCACTGTGGGAAAAGACTGATGCGTCTGCAGGCATCTGGGGAACAAGCAAACTGCATACAGAAACCCAGATGCTGCAAAGTAGCACCGCATTTTGATGTCCACCATATAACCGTCCATGTCGGGTTTAAAATGGTGCTCGATTACACATTGGGAGTACGAACAGAACTCACAAAACCAATAACTTCTAAGGTCAAGATGATTGGCTGACCTCAAACTAATGGACTGACACAATAAAATACTCTTTGTCGTTTTTATGAATTCTTTTTCCGCCGTAATTTGCTTTGCAGATATGGCTTAGTGTTTCCAAAATCATTGAATATACACCAGCAGGTATATACACACTTAATGAGTAAGTAAGTGCATGCGTATATTGAAATATTGAAAAGTACATTTATTCAGTAACTCAGTTCATTAAATAAAACACATTATATAAATTCCCAGTCCTTATTTCTGTTAAATATGATGATTTTCAGCTTGCAGCAAATGGAAACATATTTAAGATTAGAATATTACAAACTAATAAGAAGATGTGTTAGAAGTGCACTGATGAAAAGTATGCTTAATACCTGCTTAAAGGTTGTTTTTTTCCAACAAGGTACTTTTACTCTGACAAACAAGATAAAATGGGAACTATAATATTATAGTTTAGTATAATATTATCTACTGGATGAAATACAATCATCTAGTAGATGATTGTATTTCAACCATCTACTCTGTTTTCTGAGCATATTTCACAAATCTCTGCTAGTAAAAAGGTTGTCCATAACTTCTTGTATCCACTAGTTATTTTTTTTTTATTCTTAAATGATGTTCGATTGATTAAATGTTGGTGAAATACAACATTTGGATTGCGTGTTTTGTGACAAACTCATCATATTCAGACATGCATTGCTCTTTCGCAGATAGTGAATCATTTATGGCATGCATAAGACTTGTTGTATAACAGAGACCTATTTACATCACTGGAATATACAGGCAGTATTTTATGAGGCACCATGAGGTCACCAGGTTATGAACACAGAAGAGCTTTCCCAGTCTGCAGTCTGAGCTGCCATTTAGCAGTCTTGAAGACTCAGAGATGAATCTCTGAATAATTTTCAGAATCAGCCCATTAGCAGGGTCATTAGGAGCCTTATCATCCCACTGCTGCACAATGAGTAGCAGTGGGGCAGCATTATTAACCATGCGGGATATTTCTGTCAGTGTCTTTCTTGTGTGTCAGTCAGTGCCTCCGCTGGCTCAGATTGTTCCCACTGAAAAACAGAAAACATTGCTACCAAATGCCATATCTGCTGAGACAAGGTTCCGTGAGTGGACTTCTGGTTTTTACAGCAACTGTTTTGTCATTTGCTCAAAACCACGTTGAGTGTAATGTGCAAACTTTTAACCAAAGATGGTGTTTGATGAGATGGCATAGATTTTTAAGTGGTTATGAGTAAAAATAAAAAAAGTATAGCTATTGATTTGTTTGATGATGGTGAGTATAGTAATATATTATGTCAGTTTAAATAGAAACAAAAAATGGAAGCATTTAATAGGCGAGCTAATGGTCTGATGTTTAAAATCTATAGAAAATAAAGAATAATGAACTGTATTTTTGTTTTTAATATTCAATTTCTACATAAACTATGAAACAAGAAGCTACATAAAACACATCTTTCACTACCATTTCCATGGGATTCAGGCTCAGAAATGTAACCAAAAGCATAGAAAAATACAAATAACACTGAGAGTGCCTTGGAAAATAAATTATCATCATTGAACTTGTTCCTCTTTTTTCACATCATACCCACAAACTAAAATGTGTTTTATAGGAATTTGTGTGACAGACAAACACAAGATAGTAAATGTGAAGTGCAGAGAAAAGATAAATGATAATTGGTATCCATTCAACGTTTTTTTCAATGAAAGATAAATGCAATAATAAAGACTTCCTAGATATTGAATGTGTTATGCACATAGTTTATATCCAACAAAAAAATAAGAAAATATTTTACTGTTACTGTTAAAAGAAAAAGCGTGCAGAATAGTACTGGCTAATTTCCAGTAATTAAACATAACATAAATATAATTTTGACAACGATTGAACCCTACAACATCCATATTGAAGAAATACAGAGCTTAATTGATTCGATGCTCTTCCGGAGTTTTGGAGATGAGCCTTAATGGCAGAAAATGAGGCAGAAGCTGAAAGAAAGCTGTTTCTACATTTACAATCTTTCACTGACAGCATGATTGTCCAAATGTTCTGCATCTGTTTGGTTCATCGCAGTCACATCTCAGATGGCCTTTCTCCCTCATGATCACTTCATGTCATTTTTAAAAATCATTTATGGAAACAGATGTTGGTAGTTCACATAAAATAAGGACATTTGACACTAATTTAAATCTCAAAATTCAATCAATCACATTTCTACAAAACACTAAAATGACAAATTGACCAATGCTTCTGGTCAAAAAACATTTATGTTTATAATCTTGCTGAATAGTTTGTAAGATTATATCTGATTGAAAATAAATCATAGGAGGCTTCCACATCCTAGCAAAAAAAAAAAAAAAAAAAAAAGTTTGATACAGTCTTTAAATTCTTGAAATGAAATTTAACAGTTGTGGAAATCCCTACACTTGACTTATTTTGAGAAATGAAGTGGAATATCAACTAATACCTTCAATCTATTGGTCCATTCATGCACTGTCGCCACTTGTCTGTACAGGGTCATGGGGGAGCGTAACGAACCAGTCCATTACAGAGACACACAGGACAAACCACCACATACACCATTATAACTAAAAATAATTTAAAGAGACCAAACTTTCAGTGGGAGGAAGCCAGAGTTGAATCAATGTGAACATATATAAATCAGTCATTGCTTTTTTTTTTTTAACCATATCTACAAGGAAAATGTTTTCCTAATAAAAATGTTTATTTGAAGTAGATCTACAAGATGAAATAAGAAATAAAAAACATAACAATGCAAGCTGTTTGTGAGTTCTTTGTCATGGTTTACCTGTGTTTGGCTCAAATAACTCCAATGTTCATGCACATGCTCTGAACTTCTAATTACACCAAAAGTTCCTTTCATCTGTTCTCTTTGGAAATTAATTAGAAAATAACTTTTACAATCATCTGATTGTTGTTTTATACTGTAATCCAACTAAAACTCCTGTAAATCTGGATCAGAAGCTACCAAAAGGGGAAAAAAAATGTATATTAGATGATCTGGACAATACACGTTTTGTTTTTTTTTGTTTTTTTACACATTCTGCATGTTTTGTTTTCCTTAAAATAGAGACATACTGATGCTTTCCCAGCAGCAGCAGCAGAGATGTCTTAGAAATCTATTCACTTTTTGTACTCTCTTTGCTGGAGCTGCAGGGGTGTCAGTGTTTGTTCCAGTAGTCTGCAGGAGAGAAGCCAGTTACACAACAGGTTGTCAGTCCATGTGATGGTGCTACAACAGAGACACAGCAGGCAACCATGCATACTAACCTTCACCTGCAAGGTAAATTAAGGCTCACCAGTTAACTCAGCCTGGATGTCTTTGGACCAAAGGAGGAAACCAGGATGTCTGGATGAATGCTTGCACACATGCCAACTTCACAACAAAAGTCGTGCACAGATGATCTATAAATTTCTTGCTGTGAGGTGATAGTATTAACCTCTAACCTACTGGGAAGACTGTCACAAATCCAATCATGCCAAGTACTTTGCCAGTCAACACCTAGTGTTCTAGCTCTAAAGACAACTGAAAAGGTCATCTCTCATCTCTGACCATTTTTTTTTATTATGGCTTTTGGCTGAAAGGATTTGCTACCTTAAAGCACTTGTAACACGTATGAAATCTTGAAATGTCTGAAAAGCACAGACATATGACCTTCAAATGTCTGATCCATATGTCAAGCTATATGGCTCATATCAAATTAAACCACAATGTTTTATTTCAGTAACCCTTTGATGTTTGGTTGAATGGTTAGGTTCCTATCATGAATGTCCAATTTGGCTTAAAAAGCAATATTTCTGCAAACCTAAAAAAACCGAAGCTGCACAAATTGTGGTCAAAATCTCCGACATATAGATGCCAGACTGCAATAAAGTCATTTGATTGGAAAAAAAAAAAAAAAAAAAAAAAGAAAAAAAAATTGCAGGAAATTGTTGATCTCTATTCTTTGGAATCATGGCATGCACTCATATTTTTTTCACAATAAAATTTCCATTCTGGTTTGTTTTTATGTAATATTTAGTGAAAGTGTGTAATCTGCTGTGTGTCTTTTCTCTTCCACTCCAGGCCAGAAGGGCTGGTGTCTTTGAACTTCTAGACATGTCCCTGGTCCAACACACCTGAATCAAATGACTGAATCACCTCGTCATTATGCAGTCAGGTTATCCAGAATCCTGCTTGTAACCTGATTGTTTGACTTAGGTGTGTTGAAGCGTAGAAACATCTCAGTGTTGCAGGACACCAGCCCTCAATGACTGGACTTGTAGACCCCTGCTTCAGACCCATGAGGTTTGAAATATCAAAACCTAACATGGGCCAGATTCATTTTTTTTATTATGCACTGATTTGCAAAACCCTTGACAATAAGGAAGTTCTGCCCTCTTTATTTCGCTTTACCATGATGTCAGAGTGAAAACTTCCGTCTCTCATCAATTATAAATAAAATGTTTGGCTCCCTCTGCAAATGTCTGCATGTATCTTAAAATAAAAAATAAAAAAATACGCATGACCGTATTAGTGTTGTATCCAGGTAATGATTGCACCAGGCAGAGAGCTGTTACAAGGTGACAATAAATTTGCCAAAGCTTGCTCATTAGTTGTCCAGACATTCAATTACCAGCAGACGGAGTCCGAAAACGCTGGCTTTATATGAATATGAACAAGATGTTCATTTAGCATCGCTTTTTTAAAATATATTTTTTTAAATCCTTGAGTTCTAGTCAAATTTTTTCTCATGTTCCACATTTTAACAGTTATCAGTGTTTGACTAGAAACCCCTGAAGAGATCTCTCTGTTACTCCTAAACGAAGGTTTGTTTCATGATGCGCACAATTCTCGTGGTCTTGGAAACGCAAATTATTCCTCCAGTTATTCTGACAAACATAATTCTTGCACAAACGAAAATTAATTCACGTTCCTCTGATAAGCGCTGTTATTTCTCGAGATCTGGAGGCATCCAATTTCTTTTTATTATTTACAGTAAAGTCCAGGTCTAACAGGCTACTATGAGGAAGTTGCTCACAGTCTGCGCGTAATTGTCCAGTGAATCATCCTCTGAATCATGGCACTGCAAATGATTATGCGCCATTCCCAGTAAAACCCCCGTTCCTACAGCCTGACGTGCTGCTGTTCGCCGGTTTATCATACTAACTCCAAAGTTCAGCCCAGAGACGTGAACGAGGAGGAAGGACGTAGCTGAGGGAGGGATGATAACGATCCTTTTCCAATTCCAACCTGTCTCCCACTCATTTTCGGATTCCTGAGCGGAAAACAGCTTGGAAGAGGATTTTACTGAGCGTATATCTCTTACAGTAAGTCTAACACTTCGCATGAGTTGTGTTTTTGTTGTTGTTGTTGTTTTTTTAAAGTGAAACTTTTTTATGGAGTGGTTTTGACAAATTGTAGAGAAAATGCGCATTTTGTGGATGTTTTGGCAGGAAAAGAAAGTTCCTTGTGTAACATTATCACCGCCGCTTCTCAACAGGTGTCTTCCTGCGCGTCTACCGATAATATTTTTTGATAGATGCGCCCTATTGAGCTGCAAGAGGACAAACGACGCAATAATTATTGTGTGTTCCTTTCTGTAATGAAATTAAACATTTTGCATTCTTTACACATGATTGCATTGTAGCCTACGTGCAGCGCACAGCAGGTTTATTCTCCCTGCTGTTCATATCCTTACATAGTCTCGTTGTCTGTAGTAAGACGGTACCTAAATGCTTGTGTTGCGGAGGCAGGTACATAGAGATGGGAATGATACACAAATATATACCTCAGATTTAACACCAGTAATATTTATGGAAGCTTCAGGTGATACTGCTAAATTAAATATTTTTATTGAGCTCTCTTTACGGGATGTCATCAGGACATAAGGGACAGCACGTTTACAGCCTCTGCTTCCCTTTTCACAGTCATGTTTATGTTACTTAAAAAAAAAAAAAAAAAAAAAAAACTGGAATGTGGCTTCGCTTCTGTTTACAAATGGGTGAAAGATGAAAAAACATCCATCCATCAACTGTAATGCTTATATTTAAAGCTGCCCAAGGTATAAGCAATTCAGCTGCCCTGAGGCGGAGAAACAGGTCAGCAGAGAAGCATGAGCCTCAAAAAATTTAATTAGTAGTTTAGATTATTCAAGAATGAACACATTTTTAAGTTTTATAGCAAATGTTGGCTCAATGTCTTCAAAATATAAATATAAAACAACAAAAACAAAAACAGATATAAACTACTGTGATCATAAATAGAAAAATATCTATGATGTGATAATTATGCTAGTAGTCTTACTGTTGAAATTGGATTTCATATTTTTTTAATTATCTGTACAATAAATTCAATTTTATTTGATTCTCAACAGTGAAATTTGATATACCGACAAAATTTTGTTACTGATTTAGTTGTGCCTGTGCAGCAGTCAAACTACTGACTAGTTATGCATTCATAACTAGTTATGTATTCCAGTCCAACTTTTCTGTATCCACATTTAAACCCTGCACACCAGGGACACCAAGTATGACTACCTGGTGAGTTGGGGTGAAGGTGACTCAGGAGGGAGGAGTTCGACCTGTAGCTGGTGGTTTGCCGGTTCAGAATCCCCACTTTGTCCTCTCTATGCATCTTGTGCAAGACATTTCGCCCACCTTGCCTGCTGGTGGTGCTAAGAGGGCCAAGGGCAGCGGTTGCTACAATGTAGCTTACCACCAAAGCACTTTGGAGTCCTCTGGACTAGATAAAGTGAACTGGAGAGCACCTTCAGCTGCATCCTAAGTGCACAAAGATCTGTTATCATAGATCCTTCCTTAGACAGATTATATTATCATCGCTGGTCCCGACAAATTCAATAAGTGTCTACATACATGCTGGTGTTTGTACATTTATTTGCAAAGTTGTTCTCATTTTAAATTACATTTCTGTTGACATCTGGACGCCCATCTCATATTGTAAATAGTCTGTTGTTTTGTGCAAATCTTTTTATCATTCTATTCTATTCATAAAAATAACATCGCTTATACAATTTATTGTTTTACTTATTTTATAAGTTCTTTGAACTGGAATTGGTTTCCCATGTCAGATTCTGATGTAAGCCCCTAAAAGTTTTGGGCCAAATTAAAACATGGTGGAAAACAAAAACACACACACACAAAAAAAAAATTTGCTTGTTCACCTTAACTCCCTGTAAAAAGCTTTCTCCATTAATGTGAAACCACGATGAGAGTTGTTATGGATGCACCACCAACCCTCTCAGCTCTCAGTGCGGGTTGTGTGTGTTTTTTTCCTCCACACTGAACACTAAGCCTTAGAAAGGATCTTTTTCTCCTCCTGCTGCTTATGTCATCAATGAGTAACCATGTATACACACAAACCGATTGAAAAGAAACAGACCGACAGATGACATTATTATGCTAATGTAGGTCTTATCAGCACTGTGAAATCTGTGATTATTTTTCTGAATGCAGGTTTGGTATTTTAAGGCATTTGACATGCCAATTGATTAAATGGTGCGCTGATTTTAAATATTTATGCTTTTAAATTGGCAAAGACCACAGAAATGTCGAAATGAAAAGGAGTTCAATTAAAATATTTAAAAAATTTGAATCTATAAACAAACAACGTCACCTGCACCCATGGCAACTGGCTTATTTTAGTCCGTTCTCATAAAAAATCGATACCCCCAACTGCTACAGATGAATGTTTTCCAGCACCACGGCAATATGTTTTAAAATCACTTGGAGCACTTCATCATCCAGAAGTGTTGCTGTGTATGATTTTGAAAACCCTGGGACACGACATCCATCATATGGCACTGGAGACGTTTTAGCAGTGGCTCCTTTTCTGCTCAGTTTTTCTGCTGCTGGGTTGGTGATGGAATCCCATCTCGCTGCCCTTTCCTCGTGTAAGTGTTGAAGAAAGCCAGCTGGACAGTGAATGAGAGAGAGATGAACACAGATTTAACTCTCTTCAAAGCTGCCGAGTTTGCTGTTGAAATAATCCAAGAAAATGCACACCAATATGTCATTTCTGTCTGTCTGTGACTGAGGTCAAAACCCCATTTAAGTTCCACTGAAATTAAATAGAAAATAATTTAGTTAATATTTGCTACAAGATATAAACTAGAAGACAGAATACATTAAAATAGTGTGAAGGATTGTGTGATTTTAGTCATTTGTTTTTATTTAGCCTGTTGACGGTCTGTGTCTTATATTCTTACAGTTTCTTGCAAATGTATTCATACCACTCACACACTCATCCGTTTTGTCGCTTTATAGCCTCAAACACAAAGACACCTTGAACTTCAAACACAGAGTACATAATTGTGACATTTTCACCATGTGAGAGGTGCATTTATAATCAGCCTTGCTGAGTCAATAATTTTGCTGCAATTACAGCTGTAGGTCTTTTGGGATATGTCTCTACCAACATCCAGAGACTAAATGTAACTGATTTCTTTTTGTCAAAACAGCTCAAACTGAGTGAGTTTGTGATCAACATTTTCTGAAAGTCTTACTGCAGATTCTCATGTTCAGGTGTGGACTTTGACTGGACCATTCTAACACATGAATATAATTTGATCTAAACCAAGCTGTGGCTTTGTGTTTACAGTCATTGACCTACTGGGAGGTGAATCTCTGCCCCAGTTTGGCCAGTCTCTTACATGTTTTCTGCCAGGTTAGTTCCATTCATCTCTGACCAGCGCTCCTGTTTTTGTTGATGGAAAAAAAGCATCCCCTTACCATAATGCTACCACCACCATGTTTCTCTGTTGGAATGTTGTATTTAGGGTGATGTGGACTAAAATATGTAACTTTTCTAATGTCGTCTAACCAGATCACTTCCTTACACATGTTAGTTGTGTATGTGGCAAACAACAAATATAAATTCATTTGAGTTTTGTTTTCTTTCGTTCTTCCATCTTGCTGGCCTTTGAAAATGAACAAATTTGCCCAGTTCTCCAGCTGAGCACAACTAATAATAATTTTAATATTTTTTTTTTTTTTTTTTTTTTTACATGAGCCTTAAATCTGTGCAACTACTCCAAAGTAACAATTGGCCTTTTGGTTGCAGCTCTGAATAAAAGGCCTGGTCTTTTTAGGTTAACGGCTGTTTGATGTTTTTTCTTTTTTGGATGATGGAGTAAAATTGCACCAGGATATGTTCAAAGTTTTTACTATTTGGCTTCACTATATCAACTCAACAAATTTTATGCAATGTATACATTTCAGAAGGCTCATTTGTTGTGCTTTGTGTGTTGCAGATATTTGGATTTTGAACAACATACACCAAGGGACAAAGGAAACACTGACCAGCACTGAAGATTGGCTGTTGTTTCTGCTGTAACCGGAGCACAGGGAGACACAAGAAATAAAAGGCTTCAATCTAATGGCCAAACAACCAACAGCTGTCCAGAATGAGACTGGATACAGAAGACTTCATCTCACCTAACATGATGGAATTTGGTCTATCACCTTTTGCAGACTTCCTGGACCTCAGCCCCAACAGCTATGTCAACAACAGCAACAGAAGCTGGAGCAACCATCCGTATGGTGATGATCCAAGGCTCAACGAAACCGAGACCCTGCATTACTCACTCCATAACGCTCTCCTTGGAGTGTCGTTGGGCCTCTTATCGCTCCTCACCATCATAATGAACCTGCTTGTCCTCTATGCAGTGAAGAAAGAAAAAACTCTCCACACGGTGGGAAACCTGTACATTGTTAGCCTGTCAGTGGCGGATCTGATTGTGGGAACGACAGTTATGCCCCTGAACTTGATGTATCTCCTGGAGGATGAGTGGAGTCTGGGGCGAGCGGTGTGCCAGTTTTGGTTGATCATGGATTATGTGGCCAGCACAGCATCAATCTTTAGCTTGTTTATCTTATGTTTGGATCGGTACCGCTCAGTCAGACAACCTCTGAAATACCTAAAGTATCGAACACGGGGAAAAGCGAGCTTGATGATCTCTGGGGCTTGGCTACTTTCAATGATGTGGATAATCCCTATTTTAGGATGGAGGTCGTTCACACATGTGGACCTTAAACCTGAGGAGGAGAACAAATGTGACACAGACTTTCGCTTTGTTACGTGGTTCAAGGTGATAACAGCTGTTTTCAACTTCTATGTACCCTCAATTTTGATGTTGTGGTTTTACACACACATCTACTTGGCGGTGAGGCAGCATCTACGAGACAGAGAGAGAATCATTCATCCAGCAGATTCATTTGGAGAAAATGAGAATGGAGGCAATGCCCCAAGCCCTAAAAAAAATGACTCCAAATCCCTCGGGAACGAAACAGAGGTTTCCCTCAAACAACTAAAAAAAGACAGACTGCTAGATCAGAACACTCTAGCTCAAACATATTCACTTGAAGATGGTGAGAAAACTAAATCTGCTTCTTTTAGAACTCACAGAAAAATAGGCGTAAAGTGCCAACAGACGTCACTTCTTTCCATGACAACAAAGCGGCTCAGAATGGCACGGAGGGGTAAAACGTGCTCCCTGTCGCCTGAAGAGAGGCAGCCAGGACCGGAGATTCCCCTGAGCCAGTCGTCTGCGCCGCAGGATATGGCATGCTCAGGTGGAAACAATGAGAACAAACATCAGGCCTCTCTCAATGAATGCCATGTCACAGTGACAAACTCTGTGAGTGGAGTTTGCGGTATCAGTCCAGTGTCAGACGTGCAGAGGTACACAGATGTGCTCTGCAACAGCTACGACCCCAGTCAGGCGCTACCGTGGCCGGAGGAAGGAGTCGAGGACACCAGAATAGACTCGGATAATGGAGTGACTCTGAAACAGGCGTGGCACAGGTTTATAGACCAATCACGACATCGAATTCAAAGTCTGAGGATTCATAAGGAGCACAAAGCTGCCAAGCAGCTAGGTTTCATAATCGCTGCTTTCTTGCTGTGTTGGATTCCTTATTTCATAGTTTTCATGGTCATGGCTTTCTGCCCAGAGTGTGTGCATCACGATCTTCACATGTTCACCATTTGGCTTGGTTACATCAATTCCACTCTGAACCCTTTCATATACCCACTCTGCAATGGAAACTTTAAACGCGTTTTCAAAAATATTCTCAAGATCAATTTGTGACTGATGTGACTGCAAGAGCAAAGAGTCACGAAATCTAAGCTCTTCAAGTGTTACCAAAAATAATAGATAATACAAAAAAAAAGTTGATGGTCTTGGATGTTTTTTTTTATCGTTGATAAAGTAAAAGCATATTTTCGGTGGCAGCTTGTTTTGTACATTAAGTCACAGATTTTATTTTTGTAACTCGCCATTTTACAAAGAGTCTTTTAGAGTAAAATGTTATTTATTTTTGTCTGTTTTGCTGATATTATTGCACTGTGTCCAGAGATAAAGGAATTCATTCTTAAGAGCAGAAGCTGGATTATCTTACAGTTAGTTGAGTTGTTATTAATATCAAATGCATGTTTGCAGTAAACAGAGAAAAATGTCACATTCGTAAAGACGTAAAGAGAAAGACGTTATGACCACAGAGTGGTAATTAGTGGTTAGGCAGAGCAGAGCCAGCCGGAAAATTGATTTTTTTCCAACCTAAAGTAAGTCAGTTCCCTAAAAAATATATACAGCTCATGATAACACTACTCTCTCCTTTTGTCACATCCATGCTCGTTGTTAGTCAATGACTCAATGCAATCAATCGTCTTTTGTTGTAAATTGGTCGCTCAGGAGGAGGTATTGCTGCAAAGTTTATCACTCAATATAATTTGATGGCCTTCCTTAACTTTTTACCAGTTGGTATGATAAACTGAACTGCACTGCATTATATTTTGGACTGAACTATAATGTATCTATTTGGATTTAAACTGTGATTTATGATTACGATCTGTTTGTCTTTACAGTATCTTGAGATGACATTTGTTGTGAATTGGTGCTTTATTATAAATAAATTAAAACTTTTTAAGAAGACTTTTTAAAGGAAATAGCATAACTTTTGTCTCAAGTCCAAACATAAACAGTGGAGAACAAGAATTTTATATTGGTTAGAAAACATGCAGTTTTATTCTGTTTAACACTTCTTGACTTGAGTTATTTTTGGTGCCTTTACTTAACTCAATGTTGCAAGTTGCTACAGAGCAGGCCACTGTCTTTATAACCTTCAATGCAAAAGTGACAACGGTCTAAAACTTTATAAAACACTGCTTGCATGAAATGCAATTGAAGTTTTGAAACTGGAATATGATATCAGAAACTGGCTTTGCTCTTTGCTCTAATTTAACCAACTTTACACTTGTTTCGTAGGGCAGAACAGATTTGTTTTGTGACATACCATACACAAACGGTTGACATGATGTCCTGCTATTTCTAAGTAGGATCTGTGACCCCATGATGCCATGTATGTTTTGACACAGTCCTCTTTAGCAATGTATTGAGTATCTTTCTTACTATCCTCCTCTTTGTGAGTGAAGGCAAGATAAATTTGAATTCTCATCCAGCTTTGCTGTAAATATTCACAAGTTAGTTTGAGAGGCTAATTTCTCCAAAGATTTCTTTTGACTTGTGTGAAATAATATACATTTGCTTCACTTGAATAGTTTGGTGAAGAGTAGCTCCCAGAAATGAGCCCCTGTGTCATAATTGCACCCTTGGGGAATAGGAACTAATAGTCAACTAAAAAAAAAAAATTAAAAATAAAGAATATATTAAGAAAAGCTGTAGTTATACTGATTTTATAGTAATGGAAATTAAGCATTGGATTTTTTTCTCCCTCAAGTTATATTAGTGGAATATTGTGCAACAGCTATTACATATGCATTCATTTTAAGGTTTGTTTTACACGTGCACCAGGAATACCAATGAGGGTAGAGTGTTATAAGATGGATAAGAACCCCATAGAGCCTCCCTTTAAAAATAAAAATCAAAAATATCCCTTCAAATGAACATGAACTGAGTCAAAAATATTTTGTCATAATACAATCCAAACATGCTTTTAAAGGAATTAAACCTATAACTCTGGACTTACTGTATATACATGTCAACAAATCATTAAATCCCAGCAAGCATCAATGACGGTTCTATTTATAATGTGTTTCTATTTCCATTCATAGCCAGGAGTAAGAGTTCAAGTTTACAGCAAACTGCGGTATTTTTTATTTAGAGCTATGTGAAAATGTTTTAATTTATTTTGTGTTCTAAAGTTGTTAAAAATGAATAACATGAAACAACATGACACTTAAGTCTGTTGGTAATTCTGTGATTTTCCTTGATTTTTTCATTAATTAAACATGATTTTAAATAAAACTTGTCCTTTCATATGTGGTATACACTCACATTTCAACATTGTGTCTTCAGAAAACTTTTGTGAATAGACTCAACATAATTAAATAGAATTATTGTCAGCTCAGAAACCACATTTTGTTTTCCCAGTTTAAATATTTCTGATGTAGGTTACAGAAAATTCACACCTGACATTGACAAAAAACCCAAGTAATCCACAAGTACAGAGAAATCAAAGCAAATCAATCCACAAATAAGGAGATTGGGGGGTAATGGTAATAACATGGAATATGTTCTGAATATGGTTTGCAAAAAAACATCAGAAGTCAAGAAACCAGTAAAGCTCTGTAGAAAGCATTCCTACTGCCTACTGTAAATCAATTTCAGCCAGATTAATATTAACTGATCGGCTATAAAAAGTTCTCTTTACCAAAGTATTGTACAAAGTTGTATGATAATATAATTAAAAACTCCAAATGTTGCTAAACATAGAAGTGCCAGTGGCTATGTCGGTACTTCTAATCCTCTGAATGTTTCAGTGAATGGCATGTAAGCAATAAACCAAAAGCAGGAAGAACTTAAATTCACCATAAAACCGACAATGGCCAGGTATACCCTTTACAAGAAGAAGAATCCAATTCTTCTTGCTTCATTAAACTTTCGAATTCACTTGTTTGGGGCACAATCCTTAATGCTGCAGTTCTTGATTATGATCTGAAGATTAAATGAGTCCCAAACACACTATCAAGGAAACTCTTAATTGGTTTCAGAAAGAAAGGAAGTAAAACCTCTAAAGTTGCCCAATTAACCACCCGACTTGATTCCAATTAGAAAGAACTGAAGGAGTGCATAGAAACCCTGGACCTTTCAAGTTGATGGCAGTTTGTGTAGAAGAACGGGTCGATATCACACCTAAGGATTACTTGTGGTTGCTACCTAAATGCAGCTATCAAGAAAGACGTTCCTGCAAAGTGTTTAAGTAACTGTGTTCAATACGTACTGTAACATTCCCATTTTTATACATAACATCATTTAGAGAGTAATTTGCTTTGATTATTGTGTGTGTGTGGATTGCTCCGGTTATTGAACAATCCACACACATTACATTGTGTCCAGAGGTCAAATTAAATATTGACTAGAAAGCTACTGTGTTTAACTTGGCTTATAAATTTAACAAAATCAACTCTTTAATAGAAACAGATGCACACGAATTGATATGCAAAACATGGGTCAAAACGGGACACATTTATTTCCTGTTATTTCAATTTTCTTTGCTCTGTCTTTTTAAAATATGCTCATTTACATTCCAATTGCTGAGAGACATTTTAATTTTGTCATGACATTTATCCCTAACCCACATAATTATTTCCATTTTCCTTTTTATATTATGTAAAACTAATTTTGTTAATACTACCTTATGGCTATACACATATATAAAAATGATTATTTAAAATGAATGCATAATGTAGTAATAATTGGTTACAAATATTCACTGAAAACAGACAATTAAACTTTTAAATACTTTCATGTCAAACATACATCTCTAAAACATAAGATAAAAGACCCATGAAAACAAACAAAGGTATTTATTTAAAGCTAAGTGATGAAAATACTGTAATACTGACTGGTAAGTATTTATTGAAAAGATAAAGATTTAATTTTAATTTTAACAAAGGGTTAAACAGTGCCAACTCATGTAGTTACAGCTGGGCTGTGGCATGTTCCCTCAATGAGCAGATAAAGGATAGTAACCGGAAAATAAAAAGTAACAACTGCTAAAATAGGCCAAGGCACATTTTTGGCCAAATCTGACGTCAGAGTCACAGAAACAGTTCTCACCAGACACAACAGTAAACATTTAATGGCAACAGAGCCTCTCTCTGCTGGGAAATTTCTTTCTACGTCTATTTTCTTTTTTTATGATGTTATGTAGCACCTTCTCCCTTATCATTATCCAAAGTGTAAAATATATTATTGCACAGCCCTGTGGGAAAAGCAACCATGAATGTGTGATTTATGCAATATGACTTGTAATTTTCTCAGAGATGCAGCTGCATGTAAAATTCAAACAAATCTATCCGAATCCAACAGTTTAGACCAGGATAGTACTAAGCTGGAAATAGTGTTCACCTGGACAGGTAGGTGTATAAAATAAAACATCCATCAGATGTCATCTTAGGTGGAAACATTTACAGTAAACCCAAAAGTTCCTCATCAGGTTTTATTCACTCCAGATATTATCACTGTAAACATGGAGCAAAGATCATAAATTCTTAATGACTGGCTTAAATAATGCATCTAATTATGGACCAATTATTCCTCTGTAAGACTTGTAAAAGGCATCTCCATCCAACGACAGTAAAGCACGAAGCAAACAGAAAAAGCAAAGATCTCTAAATGTGTGTCTGTGTTTTTGTCAGATGCTTATGAAGTTTTCTATCACAATTAGTGTAAACTTTGTGACACAGCTCATTTACTATTTTTATGCCTATTTTGAAGTCCAAACACCAAGAACAAATGAACAAAAGAAATATTTTCTTCAGCAGTGAAGTGTTTTGTGGTGAGCGTCCACACAGGCCATGACGGTTTAATGCCACCCTAGACAGAAAAGAAAGAAAAAATTATATCTTTGACACTTTTAATATGCATATATAGTCAAACACTAGCCCTAAAGACTAGTGTTTGAGTTTTGGCCCCTGTGCGCCGTCAGTAGCAGTACAGAAGCCCTAGGCTCTTCACAACCAATAGGGAGCCTTCACCACAAGCTGGAGAGCAGACAATAGCACTTTTACTTCTCCACTGTCTCTCTATCCTGGCCAAAACAGCAACATATTCCTACACCCTATTTCTAATTTCACTGCCAGTGGCACCAAACAGCGTGTAGCAGCCACGAGAGTGAGGGTGAAGATGGCTGCTTGACAGAGATTTTTCTCCCCAGACACGACTCGCCCGCACAATTTGCAGTTTAATGCTGTGCTCTCTTACGTGCCAACAGCGCTCAGTTCAACCTTAGTGTTCACCATACAACTACTCATTAAAGCATCAGTCATACAGGATTTAACCTGAGTGGAGAACATTTCTTTTGAGTCATAAATAAAGTATATGAAAAGAAAACTTTTTAATAGCTCAGTTTTATCGCAGGAATGTGGAAAATGTGAGTTGACAGTGTTTCTAAATGACCTAACCTGGTTTTTGACATTTATTAAGTGCTTCAGCTTTTCCTAATTGACAGCGCTGACAGTATGGTGCTAATGTTAGTCCCACTGGGCTAAAAAGGTCAACGTTTTCCTGACAAGTTATACTTTACACCTGTGACATTTTACAGATATTACACCGAATGAAAACATAGCACAAAGTGACAGTTACGTTAGTTTGGGACCAGCTGCAGGATTCCTTCATCTGGGACTGCATTTATTAATTTTTTCTTCCCAGAATGTGAACATAACACCAAATTTCAACATTAATCTGTTAGGTGGGTAAATAAATGGCCAATATGTATCGATACAAGCTCCTACATGCAAACAACACTGTTCTCTCTTTCTGCATGCGTGTTGAAGAGAAAATCTCATAATGTGGAATTAAAGCTTTTTATTTTGACACGTTAGCAGGTTTAATGTTCTAACTGACAAAGAACTGTGTTTTTCCTGTAATTTGAACTGAGACCATTTTAGTTTTGGACTCAGTTACTTGGATGATACCAACTTTCTGCACCGGTGCATTCCAAGGAGGAAGACATTTTTCACATTCTGCTTTTAGGGATGTGGATGTACATTTTCTGTTTGGGTCAAAAATGGTATGGTATGAAAAATATATAATATTAACAAAATAATGAAAAATGGCTCTATGTTATGCAGTTTTGAAGCTTATGTGAGCCTATCTGCAAGTCAGAAAACACTTTGGCAAAAGGGAAATAATTCTAATGGTGGAAAAAACTTCTATGTGTAAAATTTATCGGTATTTTTTGTGTATTTTGATGCCAACATGTAAATTATATACTGCAAATTGGGTATGCTTTCTCTCTTTCTAAATAACAAACTATTTGTATTGCATATGATAAACACCAGGACGTAATCCTACCTTGAAAACAATGCTTAAATAAAAACATTTATTCTTTTGATTGAAGCTGTCGAGTGTGGCGTTTTTCTGGGAAGAAACATTTACAGACGGTCCCTAGCCGTTTCTGGGAAGAAACATTTACAGACGCCCCCCTCTGTCTGAATCGGATCTCTTACTTTCTGGTGACTGCACAGGTGAAAATAAGATTCATATATATATATATTTCTGCATTTTCCTCAAAGTAAAATAGAGATCCTGTTTCATAACTGATGTGTTTTTGTGAGGCTTTGCCTGCTGAGACTAAACAGTAGGGCTTATACCACCAACTGAGTGTGTTTTAGCAGCCTCTGTTATCACTTCATCTCTCCGCCCGAGATGAAAAGAAACGGCGCCTACAGATTTCTGTCTGTTTTCTCTTGCTTCGTCGTTTGCGTGTTCTTGTTCTTGTTCTGGTTCTTCGTCTTTTACTCCATGGTTCTTGCGCCGTAAAACACCGAGGAAGCCGCAAACAGCTAAGCTAAAAGTGACGCGCTGCTTTTACCCACACTGCACCGCTTTATTGACAAATCCTGCGTTCACGTGACCATCTGAAACAGGAAGTAGCAGCTGAGGGTGAGTACAGAAACACTGGAGGGATTTTGTTTTTTAAAATGTATCTTTCGTGGATAAAACTAATCCGAATCGTCTGGTTTGTGTTATTTGTGTGCTTTCTCGAAAAGTAACTCTTTGTATCTCATTGTATATGAGTCACGTTTAAGCTGCTTAAAATGCAGTTATCTTCATTAAGGAAAGCCTTAAAAAGTACATGCTTAGGGAAAATATATTTTGTCCAGTCACAACCATTTTTACGCCACACAACACAAATTGTGAAGTGAAAAAGTACAAGTCTTTTTTTTTGTTTTGCAAATAAAATAATTAAATGTGTGGAGTATAGAACCACCAGCAGACAGACCTGCAGATATT